CTGAGACAATATTGTTCTCTCCTGGAGCGAGTAGGAAAGCAATAAGAAAAACTGTTGCATTTTATATTATTTTTATTTCCACTTAATGGTGCTGGCTCTCAGAGATATATCTGACTCTCCCTGGAGCCTGACCCTAGTGTTTTCTTAGGAAAAGACACATTTTGTTCAAAAACAGTTAAGACTTAAAATGACCATTGAGACTACAATGAAAACACATTTGATTTTGATTTTTAAAACCTTTCCTTTTCTGTCTTCTCTTTTCTGTCTTCTCTTTGCCTTCAAATAATTTATTGTCTTCCTTCCTTCCTTCTTTCCTTCTTTCCTTCCTTCCTTCCTTCCCTCCCTCCCTCTCCAACTCAATATATTTTTGTGCCAGTGCTTGGGAGCAAATGTTCACTGAAACAACATGATACTAACTTGAATACAGTTTGTAGGAAAAAAAGGAAACATATAAATGTGATAAGTAAAAATATTTGGTACCCAAAAGACACAGACTGGAAATGCCCAGATCTCCATTGCCTAGCAAAGTAACAAGTATTCTCAGACAGAGTTCCTGGATCAGAACCATTTTTTCAATTATAAGGATAAATATACCAGGCAGCCCTCAAGTCATAAAGCAATTTAAAAAGGATTGGATATTATTATTATTTTTTTAAAAAAACAACCACTAATATAATATGCACTTGAAGACAAAAGCTCTGGAACCAGCAATTGGGACATCATACTGAGATTGATTTAGTGGTTAAGGCACAAGGCTAGCAATTGGGAGATTGTGGGTTCTAATCCTACTTTAAAGATTAAAGCCAGGTGGGTGACTTTGGGCCACTCAATCCCTCTCAACCCAACCCACCTCATAGAATTGTTGCTGTGGGGAAAATAGGAGGAAGTAATATTAGGTATATTCACTCCTTGATTTATTAACGAAAATAATAGAGGTGGGATATAAACAAATAAATAAAAATAGGAATTGGGATTAATTATGGTGTGTTACCACTTTGCCTTGTTGACATAGTGACTGCAATAATATATCTCTGTATTCATATTAAGACAGAAGTCAGGATTGCCTTGGTTGTCATGTATAAAATATGATTTTAGATTAAGCTCCCTCTATGCACACAGCTCCATGTACACAGTAGAGACAAATACATGCCTTCTGGTTGAGTATATTAGTCAGCACTACTAATATGCACCCACTCTCTCATACACAAATCCATGTCTATGTGTAGCCGTGAAATGATGGAAGTTTCCTTTTACCACTTCATTCGTCATTTTGAGTATAAGTCAAAATGGAGCAGTAGTGATGACATTTAAAGAGCGTGTCCATCTTTAAATCAAATACTAGATTAAGCTATGATGATGATTGATAATGATGATGTTGATTAAATAGATTTACCTTAAATGGAAGCGGCTCTTCAGTAAGTGGGCTAACAGGAAGTGAATTGGTACTGGTGGCAGGACTCATATCTGTGCTCTAAGATAAATCAAAGAAAATCTAGATTTAGCCTAGGACATATTATTATTGTTATACAGTCAGTCAGTCACCCACTTATTTTCTATGGCTACCCGTACATCAAGAACCCATTCACCAAGGGTTAAAAACCTTGCAGTATCAAAATAAGATAATAAAGCATACATGGGAAAAAGTACAGACCTTGTTGTCATTACAAAAGGCTCATATACTATCCTCTCCTGGTGCCTGGGAAAAGAACCAGGTCTTTAAAGCATTCTTAGTCTGTTAGGCTCAGAGCCCCTGGAATCTTGAGGATACAGTTCCATAGGGCAGAGGTTGCAACAGAAGGCATACTTCCTGCATCCCATAAAACTTTAAGCCCTGTTTAATTTGCCCATCCAGAACATGATACTGTCAGAGTTTGAAAAATGGGCAGAGATCATTGGAAGTTATTTCTTGTGTTGCAAAGCATCCCAACTATATATGGGACATGGTCCCACAAAAAGACCCTTTGTTTTGTACAGCTTTATAGATGATGACAAGCACTTTACATTGCATCTGGAAGTCTTCTGGTAATTATGGCAGTTCACCCATAGTAATGTTATATAACTTAACATCGTCTACATGTATTGTCACATTCTTGACCACTTCAGCTTCTGAATATTTTTCAAGGGCAGTCCCATGTAGAGAGTCTTGGCAGTAATGCAAATGAGAGATGTCCAAGCCATGGGTTAATGAGTACGTCTCCCAATCCAGAAACAGATGGAGTGGCATACAAGATGAATTTGTGCAAAGGTCCTCCTATACATTGCTGTCACCAACTCTTCAAAAAGGAGCTGAGAGTTGAGGTGGATCCACACACTCCACACCATCTCCATCTATAGAAGGATAATCTTATTCAGAACTACTTGTGGGAATCTTTTGTTCTCCCTGGATAAACTAGACAGGAAACACAGCTAGCTGAACTAAATCTACTTTATTGTAAGGCTCCATTAACAGAATCTGAAAGTACAAACCTCATGCCCTCCCCTTTTAATTGCTTGTTCCATAAGGACATATCGTTCTTAAGTTTCTTTTTCTGATCATTAAGCATCTGCGGGATCCTGCTCCTTTTGTCTGCTCGTTTCCTAGGCAGCATCTTTTCTCTCCTTTTCCCAAAGTCACCTATGCATTCCATTACGAAATCCATTGAACTTGGTAGACCTCACATTCACACCCAATCAGTTTTGTTGTGCTTTATTTAATGTTGGGGCATTTTATACCACAAGAAATGACATCCTATTTATAGCAACAGCAAGTGTGCTATCTACCCAGTATTTATTTTGCCAATTTTTTCACGATGCTTTTTAACAGACACCTTCAGGACTACTTCCACTAAATAATGAATAAGATCTTCAAAACAATATCCTGAGCAACACAGGTATGTAAGCATCCTTAACAGTCCCAGCGGGAACAATTATTAACAAAAAGGTAGTGAACTATATAATGCAAAGTGCTGTGGTCAAGAAGATCAGCTTCTTATTGGACAGCAACAGAAGAGCCCAAGAGGAAAGTAGAAGTGTTGAGTTTCTCAGTAACCAGAAAACAATTCCAAATAAGAATAAAACTGAATAACTATTGAAATGTTAAAAAATGCAAGAAAGCAGGGCCTCTCAACTTAGCACTTTCTTAAGAGCATGGAGAAAGCTTCATGGATGTTCATGCACAACTCTTGGTCTGCTTAGCAAAATATGAACTACAGATGACAGATATAGGCTCAGATATAGTTCATGTGTGGCTGTCCATGCATGAGTAATAAAACCCAAATGCCTTTGGTTTATAAACACTGGATTATGGTTTAGCATGATGTATAAAATTCATGAGGTCCAGTGAATAGTGGTCTTTCTTCACTCCACATCAGTGGAACAATGAAACAGGTGATTTGCTATTATTTCATTTTACTCCTTAAAATAATGTCCACTGGTGAACTGGTAAAATACTTTCATCCACTGCCAAACTGGTGGAATGAAATACTTGGGAATATTGACAAAACTTCTGTCAAATGAAAGCAAGAACAATCAATTTGTCTACAGTCTTTTGTAAAAACTGGCGAATTTCCACCCAAAACAAAGTGATTTATAAAAAAAGATTTCTAAATAGAAACCATGTGTCCTCAAAGATCTGTCCACAAAAAAGTACAAGAGTGGTGCCAGCTATCCCGTCACAGGTATAAAAAGGAGAGTAGCAGGGGAATCCAGCAATCAAGGCTAATCATCACTGCTATCTCGACAGGTCCCCATTTAGCATCATTGCCAAAAGTGAAGAACGGTGTAGCAGATGACAAACAATGTAAGCCTGCTGTTAATATGAGCTCTTGGTCAAGCTCCAAATAGATTTATCAAAACACAGTACAAAATAGAGTCAGTTATTACATGATTCCAGTAGGTAATTTTTTTTTGATCCAGCCAACTGTGAATATATTGAAATTGTCAGATATAAGATGTGGCTGAGAGATTACCTTTTGTACATATACTATCTAGGCTGTCTGAATCATCAACATTCAAAGGACTTTTTAAATTCTGCAACATCTCCAGATATGTCAGCTACAGTATTCTTTGTGAAATTTGACAGTCTCTGTCATCACTCATAGAAGGTAGTTGTTCAAGCTGCTTACTGTTGTATTGAAAGAAGACCTACCAATGACTCTAAAAAGCTTTGATTAAAAATATGTACAGTATCCCAGTTCTCGTAATGCCCAATTTTCTCTACAACCACTGTTTCTCAACCGGAGAAGTTCTGCAATAGTGAATACTGACTTTCCTCAAGATCACTATCCAAATTTATTGATCCAAGAATTTAATGCTGACGGAAAGTATTTTTGGTGGGTATTAGAAGCAAGAGAACAAATAAATCTTGATAATTAAAGAAAGGAGAAGACAATCTGTATATTTTATGGTTATTTAAGAGCAGAGGAGTGAATCACCAACTTATTTTCAGGGTGATTGCTTCCACTGTTTCTTTGCCACTATGTTGAATTGAGGTTTACAGTCTAGAAGTTGAATTACACTTAATAAATGTGATACGGCTTAATAAACAAGCCAGCATTTTGGATTCTTTGTACTGAAAGATCAGTAAAGGAGCTGGCTATAGTGATCCTTTATTTTTATGATATATTGTATTTGCTTTATTGCTGGCCCCCAAATTTTTCCATCCCCCCTTCAGGAGTTGTGAAAGTGTGTGGAGGAGAAGGGTATACTGATAACATCCATGGATTGAAGATATTCACTGATACTCCTTTAGTCTCCATTTAGTGGTTGACCAACCCATTTGGAGTGATTTTACATCACAATATATACATTAGAAAAGTTTGTCTAGCAAATCATGTACTGATTCCATCCAACTCAAAAAGAGGAAGAAATATCAGACAAAAGATATAGTGGGATGGATGGATGGATGGATGGATGAGAGGGAGGGAGGGAGGGAGGGAGGAAGGAAGGAAGGAAGGAAGGAAGGAAGGAAGGAAGGAAGGAAGGAAGGAAGGAAGGAAGGAAGGAAGGAAGGAAGGAAGGAAGGGAGTGATTAGCAACTAAATTTTCCACCACTACCATCACTCTTCTTAAAATTAACAGCAGAGTATTTATCAAACAGCTTTGCTCCTTTAGAACAGGTCTCATTACTGGCATTATAGACTTTGAAGTTGTCAATAAATAATTGTATTGCTTCAGTGTTGCCACAGAATAACAGAATAATAAACAGAGTTGGAAGGGATCTTGGAGGTCTTCTAGTCCAACCCCCTGCTCAAGCAAGAAACCCTATACATTTCATACAAATAGTTATCCAATCTCTTCTTTAAAACCTCCAGTGCTGGAGCACCCACAACTTCTGGAGACAAGTCATTCCACTGATTAATTGTTTTGTCAGGAAATTTCTCTTTATTTGCTACTTTGCAATATCTTTAGAACAATGTGTAGTGTGACTCTGATTTGTCCACAAAGAAAGGACCAAAGAAAAGGCATGTGAAGCAACAAATAATGAGGCACAAAAATACTGGATCTTTTCAGGCATTTTCAAAGAGTTAAAACAACCAGTAAGTTTATGATTCAGTGGGGTAATAATGCTAATATTGATAAAATATTCTCTCCAAAATAGGGAAAACAAACAAACAAGCAAACAAAGAAACAAACTGATATGGATATTGATAAATATGGCGAATTGTGCAAATCCTGAAGTAAAATGGGATCCAAATCCAATTTTCCATTTATTTATTTTGACTTTATAAGGGTTATACCTGTTCTTTGGAACATCTTACCCCTGCGATGTGAGGTTGGCCACAACTCTCCTGACCTCTTGTAAGGACCTAAAGACCTTGGTCTGCCAGTTAGCTCCGGGCCCCAATGAGGGACCACCTCAGTGAGGTGGTTGATTAACAACAGATCCCACCTCCCCCCACCTTGCCCCCTCTTTCTCCATCTGTAACTGAATCACTGTGTTTGTGGTTATTAATTTATTTGTTTTTAATATACACATATTTTTATCTTTTATGATTGTAAGCTTCCCATAGATCATAAAATGTTGTTCCAGCAAGAGCTAGTGAGCAGTATTACAATTCTCAATATTGTTTAAACAATGGTATAACAAGAAAAAAAGAGCAATCTAATAAAACCACCCAGAGTCAATGTGTAGGGGAGGTGGGTGGCATAAAATTTAATAAATGAATAAAAATAAAATAAACAAATCCACGGTGATGGGAGAAAAGAAGTTAAAAAAAATAGAATGGGACAAAATTAAGCCTCTCCAGAAGAATCATTAGCATATGCTAAATCAAAAGGGTTGGTGTTCAATAAAAACATGGTCAAATAAGGTGTTTGCTTTGGTGGTTCTTTTTATTGGAAAGCACTGAAATAATTTTGACTTGATCAATTATGCCTCATAACTATATTGCTCTAGAAAATGTTTCCTTAATGAATCTCAAAAGAAATGTTTTAAGTATTATAAATGTGATGCATTTATTGCTAACATGTAAAACAGCAAATGAATCGTGT